TTCACATAAATCTTACCTTAAAATCTTCAAAGGGAAAATTTATTTTGGGCACATTGGCCATGAGTATCAGTTGACATTTATACAGTGCACAGAATTTATACTGTGGGTTAGGATGCTGGCCATAATTCCAGGCTGATAGTTTGTAAAGGGAAGATTCCATTTTGTACTGTTTATAAAATGTTACTCTGCAGTTCCATGCTCCAAGACTAACAAAGTCTATCCAAGTCTACTCAAGCACCGCAGTTTAACTTACTGCATTCATTAAACTCGGCTAAGATTGTCCTAATTATATGTTATCAACAATTAAGAAATGGATCACATGCCACAGACTGGCTAAAACATTCTGTATTCTCGGCTGGTTGCCAACGGAGGTATCACGTCCCATTCCACCTTGTCATCAGCTGCGTTCCTGCCTCTGCAGAACAAGTAGCAGCTGCGCTAGACAAAATAACCTGAATTCTCACACGCACTTTTCCTTTAGGAAAGAGCTTCCACTAAACGGCGTCTCTGCTGTGAATAGGACTACACCTGAGTAAGTTGGTGCTGAAAATATATTTTATTCAGATAGATTTATTTTTCACTGATATAATCTTTCATGGCCTTCAAATGCATTTGTCCCATCAAAATAATGGTCTTACTTTTCATGCTGAAATTATTACCAAATGGATTCTGTGGGCAGCTAAGCACTCTTTACTTGTTCAGCAATGATTTTCCTATACCTCAAATTACATAAGTTTATAGGTGCTCTGTTTCAAAGGAAAACAATCTTTATTGATCCAAGCAGTCAGAATTAATTGTGGATCTCTGATCTCAAAACTCCTGGCAAAGTCCTTTTATTCAGAACACCCAAATGCCAGACGTTCAACACTTCACAAATCCTTGTGGGAATCATGGGTTTTTCAAAAACTCTGTTCAATCTACTGCGGCTTCTAAAAGCAAAGGTTCAACAAGGAGTGTGCCTGAACAGAGACAGGCTCAGGCAACTTTGTGAAAAGCTAGACTGGAGCTGGCTTTCACTTGCGCTGTCCTCTTTGTTCTGATAAAGTAAAAATGGGTTTTAGAAGTCAGCCTGTTCTTCCTGTGCTCAACCGAGAGACCCTGGAGCAGCAGGCATGTGCTGCACCAGGATCAGAGAGTGATGCTGTCAGGTGACGGTGCTGAGTCAATGGACCCCGACAGCCAGAGGCTATTTGTCCTTCCAATACTTTCTGAAGTAGACCATCATGGAAAGCCAGTTCTCCTAGGAAGACATGGCTTTAAACTTCCCCACAGAGTTTGGATACACGAGACCACGTGTTTTCAGTTATCAGTTGACTTGGATCTTGAAAGCTTTACTGTCTCCTGTACAAATCGAGATGGAGGTCGCATGGGCTCCTTAATTAGGGCATGTGAAAAAGATCTGAAAGGTCCACACGAAGTCTCCAGTGTGTGCACCCATCCTAGGCCATTGTGTACTGAGACTATTTCTTTTGGAGGTAGCAGCTTCTCAACTCTTGCTTCACAGGAGGATGTTCTCACTGCTGACCCTGTCACTCACAGAAATAGACCAAGATATTCCTTCTCTAAAGCAAATCTTTTGGAAAGACAATGACCTTTGATTTTGTGAGGGAATCTCATGGATTTCTTTTCTTCATAGATATCTTTAGAAATTCTGGCAAATGCTATCTAGGGAGTATCTATTTTGTAGTAGGTAGCCATATCCACAGCACTGCTGAAGAACCAGCCACTGGGTGCATTGTCTCCCATGCATTTCTTCTTCTTACCTGCTGCTCCTCCTCCTCTTCCCCCATCTTCTTCCTCCTTTTTTCCAGTCCTGTCTTACACTTCATGTCTCCCTCTCTGCTTTTGGTTTACGATGGTACACCGGGTTACTGTAAAACACTCAGTCCTAAATGATCAGTTCCTCTGGCTTGTATTTAACCAATCATGATGCAGCAGTGCAGCAGTAAATGGTTTGCCAGTTTCAGTCACCCCTTTTCCTGGCACCTGGGTCAGTGTCTTGTCCTCAGCAGATTCTTAGTGATGGTCACTTATTTGGTTTTCTTTTCACATAATCTGATTACTAAAGAGCAAAAGGTATATTTTTTATTCTTAACATCCAGGACACTTTTCAAAAAGTTATTCAACAGGTTTTGATTTTTATAATTTTTTTCTGTATTGATTTTTGTCTAATCTTGTTCTTATTAAAAATAACTCCTCACCACATCTCTTTTTGACCTGCAGTTGATTTTTGTATATCTTTTCTCTCTTGAGAATAGCTTTTGCTTTTGCTTGCCAGCTTTCTTCTTCCCTTTTGTATAATTTCACATTACAAGTGAAGTTTGATTTGTCTCTGGGACAGCTGCTTTCGGTGCCCTCCTCTCCACTCTGCTGACCACATCTCTGACTGCCCAGGCTGTGGTGCCTGAAGGTCTTCCAAGAGACTTGCTTCCAGTGGAAACACTGGAATAGCATTGTTGAGCTGTAATTTATGATCAGAAATAAGAGAATTCTAGTAATTTTAAACAGTTGGAGACACTTTAACCATATCACTGAAAGCTGTTAAAATTCTCAATCTCAGAATCAGTATATCCCATATTAAGACTGACTGTAAATACATGACTCTAACAATAACAGAAAGAAGCCCGTATAGACATCTGGTATACCCCTTTTCAAAAAGTAGTAGACTTGATCTTCCACTTTCTTAAATACGCAAAGGAAAGCATTTTTTGATATATTTCTGTTTATGGTTGCATAATTTTTACAGCTACTGAATTATTTGAGCTAAATCCCATTTTTCCTTTACCATGACCACCCTCAAGGACAAATGCATTTAAATAAAATGTTAATAGTATATTGGAAAATAGATTTTTACTGTTTGTACCATTGAGAAATATTAATTTCAATCACAAGAGAGGTTATTTTCTATTTGTTTCAAAATACACAGGACCAGAACAAATGTAGAGTCCGTTAGTGCTGAAAAGACTTCTGTATCTGACTCAAGAGCCTAGTAAGTCCATTCTGCCACTTGTATTCATGTCCATTTCATTAACAACCTTCTCCTGCTACTACACAGAAAAAATATTTGCAGGTAGTGTCTACTGCTTCCATGGGACATGCCTGACAGCTTAGAGTAGTGCATGGGAAACAGGGAGGCCCCTTTACACTCTGTAGCCAGTAGGACAAATCACTGAAATCCTCTTAGATATTAAAAGGGAATGTCCTGAGCTATTCTGAAGTCTCAGAAGGACTAACAAAGTTCATTCCATTTGTCATTGAAATTTGACAGTGATGTAGAACAAAACCTTTCCGCAGTGGGGACTGGCTGCACCGAAATCCTTTTGCAACAAGGAAATTAGGTCAGCAGAAATTTAGGTCACCACCTCACAGAGATGTCCTCATGCCTGAAAGAAGCCAAGAGAATGTAAAATGTAACGTATAAAAAGACTATTGTTTTGGGTTTAATTCAGGAGGTGGCACCTTCCAAAGCTTAGTGTGGTATAAACTCAGGTGTGATTCAGCAAAGACAACTGCCTTTTGCATCAGCAGCATTGCTCCTGATGAATCTGAAAGCCACACTGAGGTGCTTCTAGCTGAGGCTGACCCACCCAGTTTAGTCATGCAATTCAAGAAATATTTACCAAGCCTACATTATATGCAACGAGCCTGTTAGATAACAAAATGTTATGAAGATTAACAAGCACTTACTTCCCACCCTCTCCCTCTGATGAGTAAGAAGCTTATAACCCAGGAATAGGAGGAGATAAAAGGACAATATTGGCCCAAAGTCACTGATCACACAATGAATGAGCTCCTACTATGTGCCACAGGATAAGAGAATTGATATATGAGATGCAAGTCAGTGTGACTGCTGGATGGAGAGGAGGAAGAGATCAGGTCAGTTTGAGGTGGGCAAGAAGAAAACTTTTCCTGAAAGGGGTAGGTTCACTGAATTTAAGATGAATATAATTTCAACAGATGGTGATCTATAACAGGTCCCTGAGTGGAAGTAGTGGGAAGAAAGACACAGTTGGTACCTAGAGGCAGGAAGCAAGCAGAAGCAGCTCTGCTCCAGAGCTTCAGGCTGAGAAAGTGGCATATGTGAAGACAAAAAAAGGCAGGCGAGATTGCATTGTATTGGAAAATAGTACATGCTCAGTCTGACAATAAGTATTAAGCATAGACGCAGAAACTGAAGTAGTGATATTCCTTGATTCAAAGTGGGATTATGCCCCAATGGAGTTGTTGGTATGGATTGTAAGTTGACAATAAGTTGAAAGTGTATTTAGTACACTAACCCACTGATCATCCTACCTTACTTAGCCACAGTGCCTCCGAGAGTAGAGGCTGTCTGCACCTGTGGTCACATGGCCGACGAGGACGGCTGTTTTGCTGTTGCTGCTCAGAGTCTCCGAGGAATAGCATACCTTACAAGGGTGCCCTGAAAGGGAAAGTTAAAGTTCAAAAGAAACTTTCGTGGTAAAACTGGAAAATTGTAAACTGAACCATCAAAATTTGGGACCATCTGTAATTAGAATGTTTGGAATTTTACTTTGATATACCATGAATGCTGGATTTAAGGTTGTGTTAGGCCTTGGGAAAGGGACACTGGTGATTTGGAATGCTCCCGCAGGATAAATGAATAAAGCATAGAAATGTGAAGTGTTAAACCATATCTGCTGCTCCAGAATGTCTCTAGATGGAAAGGGATTTGATTGACATCTATACATTTACAACGTATTTTCCAAAAGGAACAAGGGATTTTACTACATATTCTTTTCAAAGTGGTCTAACTGAAGTTTAAGGCAATGTTTGGCCTTCATAGACAAAAACTTGAATGAGAAATAGAAAAAATTAAGTATTTTCTTGTTTTCCTTGGTTATGAGACCACCTTCTCACTACATACATCAGCTGGCGAAGTCTGCTTTCAGCAGTGGAAATTTCATTATCACATCTAATTCTGGTTTGGTAGCACATTAAACTTTCAAGCAGTTAATGACTCTGGTTTTCTTTCTGTTCAGCTTTACCCTTCGTAGAAGATCGGCAAGCGGAAAAACGTGACAGTAAGACTGAGTTATGAACTTTGAAAAGTTGAGAACAAGTAACTACTTGTGCTGTGAAAGCTGGTCTCTCTGCTCTTGATTAACTGTCTGCAATAGGTCACTGGTGAGTCCTGTACACCCCGGCAACGATTATTGTAACAGACAGGCTGAGTAAATCACCATGGCTGGGTGGGGGACTCACAGGGATAAATTCCTTTTGGGTTTCTATTAAATACATAGATTATCCAAACTGCCTTGTAAAATGACTCGATTCCTATATGCACTCCCATTATATTCTGCATATAATAATTTTGACAAAAAGTAAAATAACATTTTCTGTGAAGGATAGGCAAGTTTCCTAACTCTGCTTACATAGAAGTGCTTTGGAAATTTTAGTACGTAGAGACTCCTGGATGAGGTTTTGATACTAGAAAAACAAAGCAAAACAGGTGTGTGTGTGTGTGTGTGTGTGTGTGTGTGTGTGTGTGTGTGTGTGTGTGTTTTGGAGAAAACTTACATACATATGTATGCATTATATATACAAACACATGTATGTATATATATGCATGCTTTTATGTTTGTCATAGAACATAAACACAGAATTCAGGCATTGACAGAAATATTAGTAAGAGGCTAATATTACTTGATTGATTATTTCTTCAGCTAGGTATATAGTTATATCTTTCTCTTTTAGATGAAATTGAGGCTCAGAGAGGTTAATCAATTCATAGGACAGATATACACAAAGTGGATTTTTAAAAAGCTAGGAAGTAATAAAATCTTAGGATAGAGCTCACTGTGCCCTGTTCTAGTTTGCTTTTTGCTGTGATAAACACACTGACCCAAACAACTTGGGGAAGAAAGAGTTTGCTTCATCCTTCAACTCCCAGGCCAATCAATTATTGAGGAAAGTCAGAGGAAGAACTCAAGGCAGGAGCTTGGAACGAACTGTGGAGGAATGCTGCTTACTAGTTTGCTCCTTCAGGCTTGTGCTCAGCCACCCTTCTTATACAGTCCAGGTTGAGCTGCCCACTAGTGACACCCTCACAGTGGGACATCACATCAATTGGCAATCAAGACCATTCCCCACAGACATGGCCACAGGCTAATCTGAACTGACTAATCTCTCAGTTGAGACTCCCCCTTCCCAGCGACTCTTGAGTGTGTCAGGCTGACAGTGAAGACTTGTGAGAACATCTTCCCCAGTCCAGAACTCAAGGTTCACCCGCTCTTTCCTTCACTCCTGCCTTCTTCTCTCCATCCATCTTATCTACCACAGCCAAATGTTTCACAAAATGAATACAGTAAAATGAACAAAAATGATTTTGACACGTTTATAAAGATATCACATAGCCAAAACGAAGACCAAGGTAAGTAGAAATATAAGGCTGGATGTGAGTTTAGTAACAATGATGAACAATTTCTTAGCAGCAATGGTCAGGAAAGATAAAGGCAACTGATTTACAATCCAGTAATCTAACAATTACCCCCAAAAAATAGCATTGGAGTTTCACACGGTATTTCATGTGATGGCCTTTGTTAGCATATGTGGTGCAGGCTTCTGATGGCCTGGTTTAGTTCCTAAATAACTTTTCTAAATATTTAATTTCTAAAATAGCATTGCTATTATAACTTTATGTATAAGTTTCTGGGATTATGCATACACAGATACCTTAGAATGAGCAAACCATTGAAGATCAGAATGTATTTACTCTCTCTGGAGAGATAGTCTTCCATCTCTAACTCATTGCTGTCATCTGAGGAGTCTGATCTCAATACTCTACTGGGAGAGTTTACCCTGCAGTTACGTCATGGGCACCTAGGCATTGTGGGAGGACACCTCTGCATGTGAGCGTCTTACAGAAACCAGTTTACTGTCTGGGTTTGACTGTCATCATTTGTTTATTATTCTCATCATTGTCCATGAAAACCTCTGAGAACCTGTAAATGACAACCACTTCACATTTCTAAATTGCCTTCATTTAGACCTTCATATATTATACAAATGGAATCTGTATGGTCAGGACACTTTTCATCACCCGTGAATGTTGTGTCGTGTCAGTTGAGGTGACTCAGTGACTAGTCTTTAGGGAAGAGTTTGCAGGAAAAGTAGAAAATCAGGATGCAAATCCCCTCATGCACTATCTAAAAGAGCTCAGACTTGCTTCTGGTCTGTAAAGAGTAACTTCCCCTTCATTTGCTTGAATAGTGTGCAGTATCAGTGTAGCAGAACTTAAGACAGCTTTCTCTCCTGTCTTCCTTGATATAGATACTCTATAGGGAATCATAATTATAGGAAAAATTGCTTTTCTTCTTTATTAAAGCTAATTTAATATAAACTTGCTGTTAGGAAAACAATATCCACAACAAATTTGGCTAGCTTGATTTATTTTTAAGGAAATATTGTCAATTTAACAAAAGAGAATAGGTATCAACATAGTCTTACATCCATTCTAAATCTAACATTCTCCTGTAAATTAGAGAATCAGGCTCCATAAAAAACACCAAGTAAACTAGGTCAGAGATAACAAGGTGGAAATTAAAATGACTATATCAATTATTTGCTTAAGTTATTTTCTAATATTTCACACTGTAGGATCTTTTACATAAGACCCCCATTTTATTCTATTATACAAAGAAAACTATGCTTTAACATAAAAACTATTTATAGAATCCTTTAAAAGATGATGAATGGAAAAAATCATTTAGAAAAAGTAGGGGGAAATACCAGAAAGCTCTCATTTAGAATTATTTCAAATTAAAATTGCCAAATTATAGTTGTTCTGGTAACGAACATTAGTATGCTAAAGACTACCACTGGGGCATTAGAGTGTCCCTCTCTCTGCCCTGGGCAATGCGCTTCTTCCAATGGTTAGTTTCCTGATGTATTTTATATCACCATTGTTTCTATTGTTATATCTTCCTTTCTTAAGCACAGATAAACCTATTATTTTTAAAATCCATATCAATCACGATTTGCTAGGGAACCAAGCCTAATAACCAGAGATTTGTATAAATGATATGACCCAGGGCTCTCTGTGCGCTTAGCTCCCCTCTTCTGCTCCTTAGACCTGAAACTTTGTGCCCTCCTACATGACAAAATCATGTCTTTTGAATGTTCTACTGCACCATAAAATGGTTTAATCACTGCTTTCTAGTGCTCATAACTCTCTTCACAGGTTTTTTTTTTTTTTTGATCTAGTTGCCCTAATATTATGAAAATCTGTTTGGCAATGGAAATCAGTAGGAGGAGGGTTCAAAATACAGTAGAGAACTGACTAACATCTCAGACTCAAGTTCTGTCCTTGGTGCACTAAGGTTCATTGGTATAGAGCTTCTAAAAAGTAAGTATATTTGGCCAGATCTCACATTGTACAAGTGGTCCTTGCCCTCGTCCAGGGTATTAGTCGGTTCTCTAGAGTCACGGAACTTGTGAATGAATCTCTCTCTCTCTCTCTCTCTCTCTATATATATATATATATATATATATATATATATATATATATGGAGAATTTATTGGAATGACTTATAGGCTTCAGTCCAGCTAATCCAACAATAGCTAGCTGTAAAGTGTAAAGTGTGATCCTAATCAGTCTTATCAATAAAAACCTGGAGTCAGATATCGAGAATGGAAGCTGAAAGACCAGAGAAGCAGAGCAGCAGCCACTATAAAACTCTACGAATCCTCAGACCAAATGAGGGGAATCCTGTCTCTATGAATCCTCAGACTAAATGGGGGTGCCATGATCCTGTCTTCACTCACCTTATACTTCTGTCTCCACCTCCCAAGTGCTGGAATTAATATGTGCACCACCACTGCTCAGCTTTGTTTTTCTTTTAGCCCAGGGTGGCCTTGAACTCCTGATCTTCCTGCTTCCTCATCTCTGGTGATGGGATTAAAGGTGTGAGCCACCACTGCCTGGCCTCTATGGTTAACTAGTGGCTAGCTCTGCCCTCTGATCTCCAGGCAAGCTTTACTCATCAGAACACAAACAAAATATCATACAACATAGCTGTTAATGGAAAGCCCAGGAGTCTAGTAGTTGCTCAGTCCCAGAATGCTTGGTGTGTCAGCTGGTCTTCTATATATGCTGGAATCCCAAAGAAACAGGCTCCAATAACCGTAAAAGAATGGACTTGCTAGCAAGGAGAGAGCCAGCAGGCAAAAAACAAAACCTACCTTCTTCCATGTCCTTATCTAGGCAGCCTCCAGCAGAAGGTATAGCCCAAATTAAAGGTGTGTCTTCCCACCTCAAGATCTGAATTAAAGACATGTGTTATCCTGCCTCAAGAGCCAGATCAAAGGTGTGTCCTCCTACCTCAAAGGTCCATAGTAGAAGAGGATTCACCCTTCAAACCAAGCAGAAAATCTCTCACAGGTGTGCCCTCCATTTCTGGATTATAGTTTATTCCAGATATAGTCAATTTGACAATCAAGAACAGCCATCACATCTCATGTAAGAGTGTACAGGGTACCTGGATGGGACATGAGGTGCCGGTTCTTACAGTGTGGATCTAGTGAAGGCGAGCAGATCTTCACTGTGCCAAGGATGGGCATGATGAGGGCAAAGGCATACCAGGGCAGCTTTCTGGATGAGGCTGCAGCTGAGCCTTGGATCACACATCTCAGGTTTTGTAGGTTGAACGGGGAGAAGGAAGTGTTCTAGACAAGGCAGTCTTCCAGGAAAGTGTAAAGAGAAAACTCAAGCAAATGCTCCAAAGCCTGTTCTTCTTTCATTACACAGTGAAACCGTCTAGGAAGGGATCCCGAAACCTCCTAACTCCCCAGCCTTTTCTTTGTCAATCCTATTGAAACAGGAGATCCTGGGCATCATCAAGGTTTGCTTAATGCTCTGATTGCATATGATTTATATATTTAATTAACATGAAAGAACAGAATTTTATAGTGTTTGCTATTAAAAATAGATGCTATCCTTAGAAAAATAAGCTGTTTCCTTTCAGACACAATTTATAATCAGAATCTTGGAGTACCACACCACTTTCATTCTGTGTAAATGGGCTGAAACTGGTATTACAAAGATTCTTTTTAACAGGAATTTTCCAGGTATGTAATTTTTACAGTAGAAGCTTTGGTTCTACTGTCACATCTAGAAGTTGGGATCT